TTAACACTTTTTTAGATGCATGCGTTGTTTTTCGATTTAAAAAGCTTTATTTCACATTTGCAGACAAAATGATTTTCTTCTAGTTACATTTCGACAAAGTGAAGCAACAAAAATTATATATTTTGAACAAACCAAATATTCCTCCACACTACACTGAAATGACGTATACACGCGTGTTTGGTGATTCAAGGGCAAATAGAATTATGAATCATTTCTGGATACTAACATAAATAATTAAGGAAATGACATTTAATTGTTGTCTCATTCAAAATGGCAGAAATTAATAACTTTTGTAGGTGTGTAGACCATAAAAAATAATTATAGTTTCCAACAAAACACTTAGATATTATTAAAGGGAAGATTTATTCTAAAAATATATATTTTACGAACTATTAAAATAGCCGTTACAGTACCGGTTAAGGTTAAGGTGTTTTATTTTGATCAGTGGCCAAGCCATTTAAGGAAAAGGTAAATACAAGTCTAACTTGCGATCGAGTGAGAAATAGAATCGGATTCAAGGTCGACAGAGTACAAGGGCATGGCATGTGTAAAATTAGAGAGTGATGGGAAGGTATTCGTCATCCTTTGGAGGCACCCACCTATTGTTTTCGTTTAAAACACTTCTTGAAAAGATGAGCCAGATTTAATTTCATATATATCAAAATAAACAGTTTAATTCTGGTTAAAAACATCGTAGTATCAAATTTAGGTGGGAAATATTTTATGTCCACGAGTGTGGCCAATTTAAAAAAATATTTGCACGGAAACACACATTTTTCTTAAGATAGTCACATCCCATCTGCCCTATATACGTGCAGATTGAACAGCTGTCTACTATGAAAGGGCCTCTTTTACCAACTCTCAGGGGTGTAGTAATTGACGAGGGACCACAGGAAGTGGGTAGAATCTACCTTCTACCTTTAAATGGGAAACAGAAAACGCGTTGGCAAGGCCATGAGAATTGCCCACATATGTCTTTATTAAGCAAATTAAATTGTCAGCCCGTGTTTTGTTGATTAACCTATTAGCAGAGATTTAATTCGAACCCAATATTAAGCTTGCATTATAGTAGTTGAACTTGAATTCAGTATTATTAAGTTTTGGTACAATAATTAGTAAAATTACGACGATATTTAGGTTTTAACAGTAATTTTATTTCCTTCGTGTCGGCAATTAAATTTCGGAAAAATTAAAAATTATTAAAACAGTAAGATCAAGATCATATTAAAACGCAACAATCTGTTTCGTGGGCATTGATTGGTGTAATTTTTCTCTACATCAGATTCAAGCAATCAGCGATCGGATTATTTCGAGCGTTGACGTAACGGTTTGTCATTGTTCATTGTAAACGAATCATTAATATTGGTGATGCCAATATTTAGTTTTTCAACTGTATCATGGCGATCTCTACTACCTTAAGAGATTAAGACGAATAATATACGAAAATAAATTTACCTATCTTTTTTTCATTTTGAAATTATCAGCCAGACACTAAAAATTTTGATTTTAATTTTTATTAATCGAAATACGGAAAGAGCAGAATTGAAAAATGCTGTGACGGACATAAAGACGGAGACACGAACTTCAACTTTTATTTTTCTTATCAGCACCATACTGGCTTTTCGTTTTTTTTTTTAAAGAGTTGAAAACTATTCTGAATACGGTGAACTATCTGTCACACAAATTTTGAAAAAATCTGGATCGCGTAGTCTGTGGAATATACAATATGCCTAGCAGCTAAAAATTGCTGATTCTCTAAGATCCAACAGACAAACTTAAAAGAAAAAAGTGAATTTTAAAATACTATTTCACTTATGATACCCCGAACTAAATTTGTAAGTAATCATAATCATAATATATGGGTAGGAGACGCAGTTGCAAAGGTCGAGGACGAGGCCCTTCTAGATAGTCCATCAACCAGCGGAAGCCAGCTGTTGTAGTCTAGACTTTTTTCCTAAGTTTGTGAAATATATGTTCTGATTTACCTTTTTGTTTCCGAACTATTATTTCAAATGAAAATTCGTGACTGATGTATGCTCCAAATGTACTGCTTTGGTTTATCCGAGAATTACATTTTTAGTTTAATTTTAACGTTGCCAAAGAAAATCTAATTAAACTGTCAAGTTTCAATGACGTTTGAAGTAATAGTTGAATGTTTTGTTTTCAAAGCACCCTTTGTAAAAGGTGATAATTTGGAATTTCTATAAAAAGAAAAAAATTAACTGTATTATCATTCATTCACATCCGTTCTGAATCTGATAAATGTCAGGACTAATAAAATTATTTACATACAGAAGTAGGCTCACGTAACGTTCTATCCCCTGATCTTTTTTACTTTTCTATCTAGCAAAGCAAACCAAAAGACCAAAGTTTTAGGAAACTTTCTTGTGTTCTCAAAGGAATTCATAAAAAAAATAAATGTTTTGATTCACAATATAAACCAAACTTATGTTTGTGATATTGTTGAATGAAACATTCAATATATTTGGGGTTTTTCTGGTTCAAATTTTCCAACATGGACAAAATCCAGACTACCATGTAGTCGTTTTTATGTATTTTTCTGAAATCTTCCGATAAATGTACTCTTTACCATTTTATGTCATAGAAAGTTCGAAAGAAAAAATATAAGTAGATCAAATTGGCCTTAGGCTTGTCATTAGATTCTGCAAGTTTGTCCTACTTTGTATTACTTTATATAACCTACAGTATATCTCGAAAAAGGGGCACTTGGTGCACAGGATGATTTTCTCAATACATAACGAATTAATCATTTAAGGCTTCTCAGATAATTAAACGTAAACAATCCAATGTTAAATATCAATCTACCATGAAACAAAAAACAACTACTACAAAGAGATCTTGAGTATTTGGTGATGATGATACAAGGACCGTAAGAATACAGTATTATTTAACAATTTTAATATATTAAGTAGGTATATGTTCTTGTATTAACTACATTTAGACATATAATTTTTAGTTTTTATTATTATCAATGCTAGTTGAAACATGTAGCCCACAATCGCAATATCAGGAGGTAGGGGTCTGTACCTACCTAGATTTCTGGAATCGAAAACAGTGTCACTTGATAAGAATTTGACCGAATTAGCTTAATGCCTTTAAAATTTAGTAAAAAGATGTAACGACCAACAATAAAATATGCTTTTTTACAACCAAAATCGAAATTGCAAGAAAATTCCCTAAAATCTTAGTGTTTACTTTTTCAAAGTAGAAAAGTTAAAAAAGGTAAAGGAGGTATATAGAATGTTATGTGAATGACCCTGTATATAATTATTTAATAGTCGCGGATAATATTAAATTAAAAAAAATCTGTAACGAACTCATTTTCCTTATTTGGAGGATTGCCTCAATAGTGTACTTAATTAAAAACCGCATTTTGTCTTTGAATCTGATTGGCCATAAATGCCGATATAAATATGAGAACCTAACAATTAAAGATATCCTGTATTACAATTTTGTACGATTGTTCGCGCATACTTAATTTTTTAAATATAATGACTTCTTAATGTTTGAAATATAATTAATTCGCTGTAAACGAAACTGGTTGTATGAAACATGCCACTAACAGTGAATTACATTTGGTGAAATTACAGAAATTACTACTTTTCTTACTTATTTCTGCTTGTTTTTACTACACGCCTGTTTACTTTTACTTTATGAAACTTTTTTACTTTACTTTCCACTAGATTGTTTATTCTTTATGCCCTATTTCTTTTTGTTTGTACCTGCATTTTTTAACATTACGTATGCCATTTTTGTAACGCTTCTTTTATTGGACAGGTTTTTTTACTTTAAGCTTGTTTATTATTTCTGCCGGCTTTTCTTACTTTCTATCCGCTTGGCTCTTCTTTGTATCCGCTCTTTTCCTTTGCACTTGCCTGTTTCTTTCATTGTTTGTAATTTTTTTTGTTTTTGACAACTATTTTACTTTACGTTTATATTTTCGCCCGCTTTTCAACTTTGCGCCCACTTTTTCCTTTACGCCTGCTTTTTTTTATTCCTTCAAAAATCTTTTTATTTCGAAAGGAAGGTGCCACATGCGAAGTCGCCTTGTTTCTCTCAGAGAGAAAGAGATAGAGAGAGATAGCGATGGGACTCACTCACATAAGTATTCATTTTTGGATCTTGGGCCCGTGACAACTTTTGATCGGGACATCTCAAATTAACATAGATATTTCATTTTCAGAGAATTTGACGGGTCGCCGATTTCCATTAAATGTGTGCGTGGTTATCTGTCTTGAAAATCGAGCTTAAAAATATGTCATTAGTATTTTTCTAATTCAATCACTCAGATTGTGGTGTTAGTGGAGAACTAGAAAAGATAATTGCTTTATTTAGTTAATACCAGTTCCCTGCATATTAATATCAGTTCTACATATATGTATTTATGATCGACACGGAACTAACAAGGAACTGACGATTTTAGATTTAAGACCAAATAAATACATCAACAGTTTTAAAATTATTATGAACATTACTAGACCGGGAATTTTATTTACTTACGAGCAGAACGAATGGTTTATCTAAAAAAAATACAGCTTACATGGGATGTTTCAACCGATTACATCCAGTAAATATGACAAATTTTCAACACCTAATCGTATGTGTGATAGACGGTACTTCCTGGAGCAAATTCAGTAAGATAAGTATTCTTTCCTAATATAATGTTTGTGGTATAATTGAACAAAAATAATTGTATTACACTGGAACAAAAAATGAACTTAACACAACACATGTAATTAATGATAAACAGTTTATTGTTCACTAAAGAACTTGCTCACTTAAAAACCAAAATGTCTTATCAGTTTTTTTATAAAAGTTAATGATACAAATTCGCATTTGTGACTTTTTTCTGTACCTCCCTTTTTGTAGTAGTCGTTTCAACTAAAATTATTCGATTACTCGTTTTTGGGAAAATCGCCAATTTCCATTATTTTTGCATTTTGTTGTAAAAAATTACTAAAACGGTAGAAAAGACTAACCTGCCGGAGGCGGCGCTTCTATCGCTTTCCTCGTCGGATGACAGATCCGGATCGGATCCCGAACACCAGCTGTCCTCCGAGCTTCTTTGGGAAATGGTGTGCTGCAAGGTCCTGGTATGGGCGAGTGGGGGCGCAACCCTGTGCTCACATGTTGGTTCCTCCCACGTGCCTGGCCGAATGCGAGGTTCATCTGAAAAGAAAAAGGACACGTTTAGAAAAATTACTACATAGGTACATAATTTAGGATTTAATTGATAAATATTTAAACCTTTCACGATTTGGTTTTACAAAGTTTAAGATTATGGAAATGGCTTTGTTGCCGAGAAAGTTGTTTTCAAATTTGCCGAAACTTGATCTCTTAAGGAGGATTATATTTCGATATGCGTGTGGGTGTTTAAAACGAAAATTTACTCTCGGCGTTACGTCTGCGGCACAATTCTACGTAAAATGTTACAGTGGAATTTGTCCGTGAACGCGATACGCTGGCGGGTGGTCTGTATTTTAATTAATATCTGAGAAAAGATACTTTGCCGCCTTGAAATGAATTCGTAAAAAATATCAACCGCATTAGATACGGAAAAATTTTGCAATATTTCGTCTAATAAACTATGATAATAAATTTTTTTTACAGAGCAGTGCTAATGTACTTACCATGTTACATTAAAAAACAGCAAAAAATAAATAAATTGGAACTGAAAAAATAATATACCAACACCATGTGCGATTATTTATGGATCCATTGCGATAGACGGTGTCTTATACCTTTATAACTTCTGGACAAATTTGATTTGTAGCCCAACAAATGACCCAACGTAGAATCGACTACCATTTTTTATTATAATTTTTTTTCAAAATACTTGCATAACATATTTAAGACTTATTTCGTCATTCGTTAACTTTATATCATTTTGTGCAAAAAAAAGCAAACAAGTATCTTAACAGTTTGAGCCCCTTCTCAGTAACGGATACTATTGACCGTTGTTGGTATTGGCCATCTAATAGAAGGGACAATACAGAATTGGTAATCTATACAGGATATCTAAAATTGGAGAAACCAATCTTTATCTGGTGACAGAACTCATCAAAATACGAAAATGTATCCTACATAGGTAGATAAATGCTTAGTTTCCAAAATACAGAGTTCCAGTTTAAAAAATATATATTTTTAGTCAAGCACCTTTAAAGATGTTTGATTTACCAAATTGTGGGCAATAATTTGTTGAATTAATTTATAAATACTTCAACTGGTTGTGATATGTTATAAACTGAATAAATGAACTTAAATCCTCATGTTATTTGCAAGAAAAAAGTATCTCATTTTATTCGAAAAATTAATAATTTTTAAGTAACTTTTTAAACTTAAAATACGCTTACTGTGTAGTTGTCTAAATTTAAAACATCTCTAAGAGTAGTTAGAGTAGTAGTCATCGAAAGTCCAAAAAAGTCATTGTCGCAGAAATTTTATTTAGCCCTTGCTTTGCGTGCGAGCAAAAAATTATAATATTGTGTGAAATGAATACAATTAGATGTTACGTAAGTTTTGCGTTGTTACGAAACAGGGTTAGGCCTCGACTAAGCTACAGTGGAGTCGGGGTGGATTCAGAGTTCACAAAATATGTTTTATTAATGAATTTTAATTTGTAGTCAAGGGCGCCAAGTGATTTTCTATAAGCCATATACCCCCAAACTGATAAAATCACTAAAGTTTACAGCAAAACGGTTTGAGTGGTTCAAACAAATGAAAGGACGTAAATTTTATACAAATATTAAATATTTAATGTAAATTTAAGGAACAGTAGTACATTAGTTTACGGAGGTACACTAAGTTTACACCAAAAAAAATATATGTAATAACTAGGTATAAAAAAAGAGCTTAACTAATGTAAAGCCTGTGTTCGTGGGAGAAAATATCGTACGGTATATTGGGTATTTCGATAATGTGAAATCGTGTATTTGGACAGGTTTAATAAATCATAGACACTAAGGTGTTCAAAAGAATAAATTAATCCACTATGTGGTACTTATCGTCGCTACATTCAAGGCTTCTCAGTTTTCCACCAGCTTTTTCACGCCGTTATCAAGGTCCATCTACGTAGGATTTTTCTAGTGGAGGTGCCCTGTCCTCGAACAGCGTGACTATGACTATTTACTCGATTCCTAGCGGGATAACCAGGGATAAAATGACGCAAGCGTAAATCTCTATAGGACTCCTGGAGAACTTTATGAAGTATAACTTCTTAACCAAAAAAAAACACCTAAAATAATAAATGACGAATAAATTCCCATTCTCGATATGACTTTCGACTGACACCACTATTTAAATAAAGAAACTCACCTCAGGTACGAATTTCCCTATGCACCGAGATGTTTTTTCATTGTCGCCTAACCGCATCCCATATTGGACAAGAAGACCAATCAATCCAACACATATATACCAAAATACAGTCTTCTACTGTGAAGTTGGTGAAAATCCGTTATTATTTAACGATATATCTATAACTTCACCAATCTCCTATTAACTTCGAATCGATCGCTTGTGTATCGTGCCAGCGAAAAGGAGAACCTTTTTTCCCTATCTGTTTTTTTCCGTTCTTTTTCGTACCGTGTATTAAATTCATAAAACCGACGAACACTAGATGCCATGACCTACACTAAAATCTTATATTTTCAAAATTTAACTACAGAAACCTATCCTTTATTTAAAATAATTTAAAGTTAGCCTAATATACGTTATATAGAGATGTTTCAAATTTATTCAACTATGAATATTCTAAGCTTATTTTAAACTTAAAAAATGATTCCCAACTTAATAATGTTTTTTTTTTATAAAAGTTAATCTATAAAACAGTCAATAGTGCCGAAATCGTATTGCCAAAGCTTGTAATACAATTCGAGAGGATGTGGCAATGTTGCAACATGTGCGAGCGAATTGGATACGTCGCGCTGAAGCTTGTGTGCAAGCAAATGGTGGATACTTCGAACATCTATGAAAATCAGCAAGTCCCAAAAGGTGGCTCCTTGCAATGTTGAGGTAAGTAAGACTTTAAAATTACATTTTACTCAACACAAACCCGTGTATTTTGACATAACGGACATGTGGCAAAAATATTTAACATAAGTTGATTATTTCTCATAAACTGGAACACCCTGTACCTCAAAATATAAGCAACGCTCGAGCCATGTTTATGAGAACTATGTCTTGTTTTGACAAGTTCTATGACCAGGTTTAGCATCCCTAGTTCGGGACACCCTTCCAATAAAACATGATACATAGAAAAGTTATTATTTCATATTTTATAATTTTTTTTCATGACTACATATAAAGTTTTATAAGAATTTTAGTTATGCAAACAATTTTATTTAAAATGTCCGTTATGTCCCAATTGTGTCGGGACACTGTCCATTTTAACCACCACCGGATGGATGAAATCGATTATTAAGCTGTTTTATGACTAATAATAAAGTAAACTAAGTAAATAAAAAAAGCACACCTGGCATTATTTACATTCATGAGGTGATGGTAGGTACGTACATAATTGACTATTTAATCGACTACGACCATAACATTAGGTTATATTTTGTACAAACGCCATCCAACTGGTATACAGGGTCATTTATTTATTGTTGTGAAACATATTCTTATTGAAAAGATAAAAGTAAGTGATTATCAAATTTCTTTGTTCAATGGGACCAAAAAGATGACATCACATCCCAATTCATTTTTATTAAAGATACTGACTAAATCATAACCCATTTCATCGACCCTGTGAGATTAATACAGTCAGAACTATCTAAGCATGCCACGACACTCGTACGCCACCACAAAAATAACGAAACAACGTGTTCGGCATTCCTGGAACGTGAACGTACCTCTAGCATCGTGAATCATGCACCGATTTTATACGGTTTTCTTTTGTTTCAGCTATTACGCGGCCGATGCTATTCTCCGATGCATATCTTAACGGTGCAAAATAGAAGGTAAGTAAATCAAACAGTGGAGGTTTAAAAATAACTCAAAATCGCACACTAAATCATTGGAAAAATCCCAGGAGGTGTACTGGAGGAGAAATAAATCATAGACTTGAGAGTTGTGTTTATTTAGTTGCAAATTGCCACGTGCAGCGTTCTATAACGCCAGATGACTTAAAACTTTAAATATTTATAATCAAGTATCACTCGTAAATTGCTAAGTAGATGTTCGATCAACTAATTATTTACGATTTTGGCATCTGACATAACCTTCAAGCTAATTTAATTTTATTCTGTCGAAGTCATTGGCGCAACGAAAAGAATCTATCCAGTGAAGCAGCAAATTTGATTTATAATGTTTTATTATAAAATAGTTACTATTTTCTTTAAGTAAGCACGAAAATAAATTAAAGCTGTCTTCTTTTCCGGTTCGAAGGACCAAAATACGGTTCTTTGTGGAAATAAAACAGCACCGCTCGGAATATTTAATCCCATTTTTATATCTTTATTCATGCATATTTCACCGTATTCTCCCTCTGTTATCTGGCAGCACTTTGACGTTAACATTGAACTCGTCATCGATAAATGCTTTGTGAGGTCACGGTTAGTCAAACTGTGATAATGAAAATTGGGATAACGCTGAAACGTCCTCTAAAAATGTTCGCGCCTGCCACGTACATTTAGCTTCAAATACTGCGACGTATTTTCGTAAATACGATTTGCGACTTGCAGACGCGAAAAAATGCATTAGTATCTAATCCGGAAAAAGTATTTTAAGGATTTAACTGACGCGATTAAAGCAACGGCTATTCAGAGATTTAAAACTACATTATTGAGGTTTTGTTGTACCTACGTTCAGTACAATCAGGACCGGATTAACCTTCAAGCTCTAGCCATGCTCTCTTGACAAAAAAATTGATTAAATTTCAAAACCTAAACACGTTTTTGTTTCATTTTAAAAAAGTCACGCAATCGGCAACTTGTCGATATAAAATTTCAAAATCTAAATACTTTTTGGTTTGGTTCTAAAAAAAGATCTAAAATTCATGTTGCCAGATCTTGCCGAGACCCCCCGATCTCGTGAGGCCCGTAGCCCTCTCCCCCCCCCCCAAATTTCCGGCCCTGGGTACAATACGAAGTAGAAATCATGGACAGATTACACAGACACAGACAAAAAAAAAGTCCAAACCCAAGAAATTCGAAATCGAAAATTTATGATTT